CCAGGCCACACCACCCTCAGGCTGTTAGTCCCCAAATCCCCAGCATCTGGTCTGACACAACCAGGACCAGGTTCTTTACTAACAGGCATAACGCTGAGCTCCCGTGTGAAGTAGGGCAATTTTGGGGATGACTGGGAACTGCGCTCTTCCACCCGATGCTGTCCATGCCGGCCAACCTGCTGTGTCCTGAAGGCTAGGCATCCTCAAAACGGGCCGCCTGTGGGGTGCGAGGCAGACCCAAAGGCCAGGCTGCCATAAGGAGCCAGGCTTGTGCCCCACCGCTTCTTCTCATATGCATTTCCCAATACAGCTGTGTCTGCTTGCCACCCACTTCCACCCCTCAAACCGGTCCTGTCCACTGTCACCCAGGATTCCAGTACAGGCACCTCTTTCTCCCACTGGCTCCCTCTAGCCAGGATGTAGCCCTCTCTTCTCCGCCCAGGGGCTGCCCAGCCTGGCCAGGCAGACCAGTCACAGTGAAAGTCCGCTTCCCAGCCCCAAGCACGGCCCCCCTAAGCTCCTCCCCTCCCCTCCCTCGCAGAACTATTCCCCAGTTTGGGGAACTGCCCCAGACATGGGTTAGGCACCAGCTTTGGGAGAAGAGTATGGTGGAGGGAAAGACAAGCCGGAGGCTTCGCCGCCTCCTCCAGAAGGCAGCCCGCATCGGGGCCCGGCCACTTCCTCCTCACACACCCTGCCTTCAGCTGGCACATGAGCCCAAACTCAGGCGCCCCAGCCCCTGGGTCTGACCCCCTCCCCACCCACGTTTCCAGGTCTTTCACGCACAGGCCCCCAGCTCAAAACCCACCCCCACCCCCTACCCCGGGCAGCAGAATAAGCATCCAGTGACCTCATGCTGATGACTCAGCAAGTCTCCCTCCGGGATCCGGCACGCGTGTGGCGGAGCGAAGCCGGCGCTAGCAGGGTCCTCCCGGCCCGCCACGTGCCGCCCCATCGCCCTCTCCCCCTGGCCCGCCAAGGACCCCAGCGCCTGGGGAGGCGCGGACACAGACACCTGATGAATCAGCAGCTCCAGCCGGGGCCGCCAGGCTCTTCCGCCGAGCCCTGGGCGCCCCACTCGACCCCACCCTCTCCTCCCGCTCCCCCAACCCTCGCGCTGCCCCTCCTTCCAGGACGCCCCGGGCTCCACCGAGCAAGTCGCGTGCGCGCGCGCCCCGCCCCCCCCCAGCACCCCGGGAGCAGGGACCGGGCGCGGCTCCTGACCACGGGGGAAGTCGAGGCACGGGCCGCCAGTGGGGTGAGAGGCGGACCCGAGGGCAGGAGCCTCGGGCCGCGCCGACCCCGGCCAGCCAGGAGGAACCGTGGCCCCGCCGGCTCCCGGTTTGGCCCAGAGCCCCCCGCCCGGCCGGCCGCCGGCGCACTCACCCAGTACACTGCGGGCCCGGGCGGGCCAAGGCCGAGGCAGGCGGTGGGCTGGCGCTCCGAGGCCGCGCGGGGGGCTCCGGGCCCGGGGGGTGGGGGAGACTCGCCACCTGTGCGGGCCGGGCGGAGCGCGCTGCGAAGGCCTGGCCGGACCAGGCTCAGGATCCGCCGCCGCTGCCGCTCCACAGACGTCACATGATGTTTGGTCACGTGGGCTCCATTCATGAGGCGGCGACGCGACCGGCCGGGGCTTAAAGGGGAAGGCGCGGCGGCGGTAGCGGCGGTAGCGGCGGCTGCTGCGGCGGCGGGAGAGGCGTAGGGCCAGCACTGCGCCTGCGCGCCCACGAGCCGTTGCCGTAGCAACGCCTGCGCCCCGCCCGGGCGGGGTCTCGCGGGACGGGTTCCGGCGCGCTCTCCGGCCTCCCCGCCGCTACCCGCTACCTGCGGCGGGCCTCCTGGGTGGGTGTGCGGCGCGGCGGCCCCGGCGACGAGGGCTCTGAGCACAGTGGCCTGGCCCCAGCCGGCCCAGCCGGCCCCGTGACCAGGGCTTGCCCAGGCTCCACCAGGAGGCTGTTCTTGTCGGCCCCGGGGTGCGTGGTCTGTCCACCCAACGCCCCAGGCCTTGCGCTAGTGACAGGAACTCTGGCGGCGGGGCGGGTGCGCGCAAGCCTCTGCAGGGTGGCAGGTGACGTGTGAAGGGCACCTTTCCTCCCTGTCCTCAAGCACCTGTCTGGGGCTCTGCTTGCGGGTCCCAGGCTGCTCCTGCCCTTTCTGTAAGGAGTGCTCACCGCTGGTCAAAATGTACGGAGAAAGACGCGGCCGCTGGGAAGAGGGAAATTGGAGGGATCCAGTTTCTGCTGCCAGATTTTGAACGTCCCTTCTCTGGTGTAAGGCCGGGAGCTCAGGTGGGCGGACTGAGGAGAAGCAAGGGGTGGGCTTCGGGGCCCCCTGGGAACTCTGTACCCCTGAAGGACAGCAGCAACTTGCTGGTAGGCCCCAGAGTCCGTGGAAGCGCTCCCTGCCGGAGGCCAGGAACTGCTGAGTCCCACACACCTGTCACCCGCCTAGCAGGGCTGCGTCCTACATGCTGAGCTCTGCGGGCGAGCCCACCCTCAGGCTGCAACTTTCCCTCGGGAGGCAGCAGACACACACCCCAGAGGCTGAGAGTGCAGGCCTGTCCACCCCCCCTCCAGCCTCCAGGTCCGGTCCTGCTGGGCGGGGGTACGGAGACCCAGCTCTCACCGGCCTGGGAGGGCTGAGCCCATGCAGCAGGCCCCATCTGTTGACTCGGTACCACCCAGTTCAGGCTGGAACCACAGTGCCATCAGGAAACAGGCGACTGGCCCAGGGCCTGGGGCCAAGCATGGGGTGGACACTCACTGGTTAATCCCCGCCCAGCTCCATGCCGGACTCCTGAGTCCTCACTGAATGAAGTCCGGCTGCCGTTTACACGGGTGACTGAGAGGCTGCTTTGCGTCGCCTGGCAGCCGCTTCTCCCCGAGGGGATTCCCTCTCCAGGAGTCTCCCTCCGCATCTCACCCTTGCTGGAAACGCACTCAGCCCCTCTTCCATGGGGGAGGGGGAAGACAGGGGCTGTGCCCACCAGAGAGGACTGCAGGAATCGGGTGGGGGTCTCCCATAGGCAAAGGCCCTAGGTCTTGAAGCCAGCCCTCCGGACAGGCAATGGGGCTGCAGAGCTGGCCCCCCCTCTGTCCTCTGGGGACTGTGGGGAGGGGATGCTCAGCTTGCACAAAGGCCAGGGGGTGGGTTAGCTGGCACGTGAGAAGGGGCACAGGTAGTCAGAGCAAGGGCTCTAGACAGGAAACTGAGGCAAAGGCTGGATCAAGCAGAGGGAGCTGGCTTTCCTGCCAGGGCTCACTCGGCCCATGGGGCCAGGAACAGGAAAGGTTCACTCCAGCCTCTGCCCCACCTGAGGGGCTCCGGGATGAGGTAAGAGTCAGAGCCGGCAGTGGCGGGGGCCAGGAGGTCATCGCTAAGCTGAGCCTCGCTCAGCGGGGCCAGCAGCACTGTGATGCTTCTCCGCTGGCATCGTGAACCCCTGGCGCTCAGGGCCCACTCCGTCCTTGGGCTGCTCCGCTCAAGTCTGCTCATACTTTGAGGGGCTTCCCCAGGCGTCCGTCCGTGGATGTTCCAGGTCTCTCAGGCTGCCTCGCCCACCTCCACGGCTTCTCACCTACATCCTGCCCTGCTTCATTCTCTGTCTGGCTTCACCCTGTGTCCCCACCTCGGCCACCTTTGGCTTGACAGGAGCCACAGCAAGAGGTTCACGGGTCCTGCCTGCTGAAATCCAGCACATTCTTCCCAGGAGGCACAATGCTTCCCGGAACCTACTGTGCTCCAAGGCTGTGACGCGTCTCTTCCTCACCTTAGGCTCACCTGCTAGCTTACCTCAGACCTGGAGCCATACTGGTGCAGCATGTCCCCTTCATCTTCGTACTGGTCGGTGTCTGACACACAGGTGCTCAGTAAGACTGGCCTTGGACAGTTAGGACCAGCTTCAGTCCTAGGCAGTCACGTGGTCTGTGGGACAGTCTCTTCCAGGACATCTTTTTCCCCATGGCAGGGTGCCAAGGTCTCCCTGCATTGTCAAGTGCCATGTCAGGGGAGGATGGTCCTTGGGGGAACCCACTGCTCTGCCTGGGTGTTCCTCACACATCCTACAGACACCCTGCCAGCTCCCACATCATGTGGGGTGACAGCGGGGGGAGGTGTGACAACCTCTAGAGGCAAAAGGGGCCTCGCCTCGGTGTCTCCTTCCTCAGTGACTGTGGCTCGAACTTGAGTGCCCCTAGCCCCGAGGGCTCTGGCCTCAGCAGCTCCTCTGATCTTGGGAACCTCCTGTGAGGGTTGATTTTGTATGTCACCTTCATTGAGGTATGGGGTGCCCAGATACTTGGCTAAACCTTGCTCTGGTTATTTCCATGATAGCGTCTTTGCATGGGATTAACATTTAAATTGGTCAACTGTTATCTATAACATGGGGTGGCCTCATCCACTCAGCTGAAGGCCCAAAAAGACCAACACCCCTGGAGTGGGAACTCCCCAGCAGCTGCCTAGGGACATTATCTGCAACATGGGCTCCTCCCACATAGTAGCCTCTGAATCGGGGTGTTGGCTCCTCCAGGTCCCCAGCCTGCCAGCCTGCCTTGCAGGCTGGACTTGATAGCCTCGTAACTGCGTGACCCAATTCCTTAAGTTGTTCTCTTTCTTTATATATGTCCTATTGTTGTTCTGGAAAACCCTAACACACCTCCCTAGAGGGCTCCTTCCTTTCTCACCTGCATGGGTTGGGGAGACACCTGCCCTGACTGAACCAGGTGTGAAGGATGCCAAGGCTGCTGCCCCCTCCCCATGCAGGCACTCCAAGCCTAGCCCACAGTGTCCATTTCCAGTCACACCTCTAAGGACCCAGGTCTGAAGCTCCACGCACTTTCCCAGGAGCTCCCTCCCCTCTTACAGGGAAACATGGCCCCAATGACCAATGTTGCTGAATGAAGGGTTCTGGGGTATGTGGGCTGCTAGCCTGGCCTCTAATGTTATCCCTGACAGCTACGACCTCCAGGGCCTCCCTCCATGTGTGGTGACAGAAGTCAGGGCACTGGACTGGAAACCAATTTATTTAACCTAAAAGGTCAGGGAGAGGAATGACAGTGTCTGTGGCTGGGTCATGGAGAGGGTGGCCTGAGTGTGCTGGGGCCTCATAAGTTCAACTATCTAAGGAGCCCTTTTCTCAAATGTTAAGAGGGAATGAGGGGTAGTTGGCAGTTGGTCAAGTACTGTGGACCTCCCCCTGGGCTTAGGGTTCCTGGGACCCTCCCATCCTTCCTACTCCAAGGAGGTATCCCCCCCAGTGGGCAGAGGGCAGGAGGACAGGGATCCCTCCTTGGCTAGGCCTTCATGGGGAAGAAACTTGCCCTCCGTGCTCAGGAAGGAGCCATGCCTCAAAGCCCGCTGACTCCAGAGGGGGTGAACCTTAAGGCCTCCTCCGGATCAGAGGAAGGTGGTCCTGACCTGGTGTGGGAACAGAGGAAGGAGGATGTTGAGGTCAGAGAAATACATCTCCCTTCTGGGCCAGGAAGTGCTCAGGGACTCTGGAGATTCCCACTGGGGAGCACTGTGCCCACTCCCTGGCTGACTCCTAAACTGACCAGAGCTGGGGGCACTAGGCATTGTAGAAACGCCCTGTGTGGCCTGGGGGTAGAGACACCCAGTGCAGGAGCTCTGAGCCCACGAGAGAACGTGGAAAGCAGTCCAGTGGGGTGGGTCAGACACTTCAATCCTGCTTGCCTGCTGGGGCCAGGCTGCGGGGAAGTAGTTTGGAGTGGCCAGCAGGGGCCAGTGAGGCCCTCAGAGGGGAGTCCAGCTTCACCTTGTCCAGGATGGTCTTCTTGATGGCAGCTGGTGAGACCGTCTCCTGGTCAGCCATGGACTGCAGCTCCCTGGGGAGGCAGTGAGGAGGGTAGGTCCAAGTTTCTGCCGTCTCCTTCCTGAGCCCAAGGCCCACAGCTCCCAGTACCTGCCAGCACCTGGTGCTGCTGCAGTACCCACCGCAGGACCTTTGGGCCTGCATGCCCGCTGCCAGTGACCCCACCCCTAACTGCTGTCCCCCTCCCTCGCATCTCATTCAAAGCAGCTCAGGGTCACCAAACCTACGAGCAGCACCCCGCTGCCCCAAGCACAAGACTTGGCCTCGCCTGTCTTCCCGCAAGTTGGTGCCAGGAGGCAGCGCCATGTCCTAGCCTCACTGCTGTGTGGGGGGCACTTAGGGCAACCTGTGGGTTTGGATTGGAGAACAGGCATGGTGGCGAGAAAGACACCTGGTACACTGCAGACCTGGGCTGGGGAAGCGACTCTGAGCCAGGATGCCCAACTCTTTGGTCTCCTTTCAGCTCTTGCAAAGCACCCTGCTCGTCTAAGGCGCTCCATCTCCCCAGTGAGGTCAATGGAAGGGTGTTATAATCAGGCCCACTGAGGTTTCCTCTGGTTCCCACTGGCCTGCCTCCCTGGCTTGAATGATCACTCCAATCTGAGGGCCACACGTGAAGGAACCATGTGGGGAGCACACCTTGGGCCCAGAGGGCATCCCTTCCTAACAGGGCAGAGGAAGATGGAGAGAGGGGCTGCAAACTGTAACCCTGGGGACACTTGCCAACCACCCAGCCAAAGCTCCATAACCATCTGCTGAGTGAATGACCAAGCAGACATGGGAGGCCAGGGGGCAGCAGAAGCAGGACCCCACCTTGTGCGTATGCAAGAGGCCTCCACAGCATTGATGAGCAGGGATCGGAAGCCCCCACTTTCTAGCACGTGCAGGGCATGGATGGTGGCTCCCCCGGGAGAGCAGACGTTGTCCTTGAGCTGGCCCGGGTGCTGCTCTGAGTCCAGCAGCATCTTGGCAGCTCCCTGCCATCAGAGAGAAGCTAGCCGCTGTGGGGACACCCTCCTGCCACCAACCCTCCACCCATCCACCCTGTGCACCAGCCTCGGGCCTGACAAGGAGGGGCCCCCACCAGAGGATCAGGAAAACACTGACCAGCAGAGCCTGGGCCCCAAGTCGAACTGCCAGGCGCCTCGGGAGCCCCATCTTCACACCCCCATCAGCCAGAGCGTCCAGGGCAGTGAATGCCTACAGGAAGAAGACACCTAAGGCCCTGTCCCTGGCCTTCTCTCTCTCAGGCAGTGGCAGCTGGAGCAGAAGGAGGACAGGAGACATGCACTGAAGTGTACGCAAGAGCCGCTGCTGCCAGTTGCTGGCCGCCCACCCCCAGTGCTCACGTAGGCTGGGCCGCTGCCACTGAGTCCCGTGACGGCATCAATAAGGTCTTCCTCCACCTCGGTGCAGAAGCCCACACTGCCCAGGAGCTGCTCCAGGAGCCTGCCATCCTCCACCTGGGCATGTGTGCCCGTGGCGTATACAGTGGCCCCCTCCCGCACCACAACTGGTGTGTTGGTCATGCAGCGGATGACTTTGGGGGCTGGCTGGAATGCCATCAGCTTCTGGAGGAGAAACTGGCTATGTATCCATCCCAGCCTCCTGCCCAGCAAAGTGGGCTGGGCAGGAGTACAAATGAGCCCTCACCCAACCAAGCATTTCCTGAGTTCTCACAGTGGGCCAGGCCCACACACCCCTTTCATTGCGGACAACCAGCACAGATGCTGAGAGGGGCAGGTTCCTGACCATTCAGCGTATGCTTCCACCCCTTTCCAGACCCCACTGGGCCAGGATCTGTGGTGCCCACCTTCTCAATGGAACTGATGGTGACACCAGCTGCACAGGACACTATGATGTGCCGATCCTCGATATTGGCACCAATCTCATCCAGGATAAAGGGGATGATATGTGGCTTCACGGCCAGGAAGAGCACGTCGCTGTGCTGCACAGTCTCCTTGTTGTGAGGTGTCAGGTTCACCCCCATCCTCTGCGGGGAGCACCCAGGTAGGCTTAGCCCACCCCCAGGGCTGGCTGTTTCAGTACCCCCCACTAAGCCAAGAGACCCACATGTACGTCAGCACAGAGGCTGCTGGGAGTGTTGACAAGGTAGGGCTAGGGGCTCAGGATGTGGGGCTCTGGCACCCCCAACTGCCCTTCCCATCCTAAAGTAAAGGAAATAATGTTCTGAAGTGTGTTCCTTTTGCAGACAAAAAAGGGATACTGCATCCACACACAGCCCTGACCCACCCCATGGTGGGTTGCAGAGCTCACACCCTTGACCCCTGCCCACTGGGAGTGGGTGGTGGTTTCAAGCTGGGAGCCTGTCCCCACCCTTAGGTCTGGAGCCCTAACTCGGCTGTACCAAACCAAGCCGTGTTCAGAACCCAGCCATGTCTCACCTGGCCCCACAGCCTCCTACAGTGGCTCCACCTGGGGAACGCCATTTCAGACCAGCACCCCCTGCCCACCAGCTACAAAAGTGCTTGTCACCCAGGTCCCAAGAGCTGAGAGGCAGGGGGGCCATCGGCAAGCCAGGAGGTCGGGTCTGTGAGACACTCCAGCCCAGGGCCACTCCTGTCCCTGGGGGTGGGGAGCCATGGCAGGGTACCCCCACCCCAGGGCCCCTACTCCTTGCTTTCTAGGGTCAAGGCTGTCACCACCTGCTCCCAGACACACTGACTGGCCTCCCTGTCACCCTCCAGCCTGCACTTACCCTGAGAGCAGAAACTGTGGCCAAGTCCATGTCTGGGGAGCTGGCCATTATCTTGTGGGCAGCCAGGACTCCTGTGGGAGACAGAAACAGAGCTCCTTCTCCAAGGCCAGTCCTGGTCTCCCCCCTCCACATTTCCAAGGAGAACAGAAATCCCGCCACTCAGAGTAGGGGGGCAACTCCTGCCTGACTCCCCATGTCCCAGGTTGCCGTTTCCCCCAGCGCTCGAGCAAGGCCAGCTACCCAGACCCCTACCTTAACCCAACAGCTTGCGGAAGGGACCAGGACCCCCTCCCCCATGGGCCCTCCCTGGCCGCAGGGCCTACCTGCTGCTGTGAAGCCCTTGGCCAGGGCAAACGCCAGCTGGCCAGCCCCGATGAAGCCCACGCTCATGGTGTGCGAGGCCTCGCCCGCAGCCCTCGCGGCTGGCACCGGTTCCGCAGGGGCAGCTGCGGGGCGAGACGGGGCGGGATCCCGCGGAGAAGTCAGATGGGCAGTGCCAGGCCCGGCCACGCCGCGCGGCCCGGTGCCCTGGCCGGGAGCAGCCGCGTCTCTGCGTTCACAGAGAGAGTCCCAGGCAGGGAGGGGCGTCGCCTCGGGAAGGGGCCGGGGAGCGGCAGGGAGTGACCGACCATCGCCCGAACCCCTCCCACGTCCAGTCCTTCCCCTGCCCGGCGCCCAAGTACCCCGCTATCCCGCGCACTTCGCCCCGCCCACGGCGCCACGCGGCATCTGCGCCCGCCGACCCCGCCCCTGGCGCCCCAGCCAATCCGCGGCGCGGCCCTCCGGCACCGGCCAATCCAGGGGACGACGGTAGCGTCCGGCGATTACATCATCCGCTCTACCCCACACGGGCCCGCGGCCCCCCGCCCTCCCCCGGACCCGCGCCCGCCTGGGAGGTCGATCCCGGATCTGTGTTTACGGGACCTGCAGCCCCGGGATATTCCTCCCCGGGCCTGCAAGCCCCAGACCCGTGAACCCCGCATGCTCGCCCCCAGCACCGCGCGTGGGGGCTGAGGGCATTGGAGTAGGGAGCGGCCGGAGCCTGGCCCTCCGTGAACGGCCCGGGGCGGGCGCTGGCCACGCGGGACCCTGTCGTGGGCTACGCGGGACAGTAAACGTGAGGCTGGCGTCCCCGACTGCGTACCCTGAGTTCTTTGAATTCAGACCTGTTAGACCATCAAAACCGTGTTTGGAGGCCAACCAGCCATTTTTCTTCCTTATTTTCTTGCTTTTTTTGGAGGGTGGGGTGGGGTGGCGTGGGGGGCGGCGTTGAAAACAGTTTGCCAAATGAAATCTGTGTTCTCAAACTCTTTTTTGTCATTTAACATTTTTTTACTGTACAGGAGGCTTGGAAACGAGAGAGTGCCCAGGCTTTCTCAGGATCTCAAAATTGGGAGGCATGTGGGAGTCTTGGCCAAGGCCCCTCTGAGGTCAGGTGCCCTTCCTCCTACCAGGGGTTTTCTTCTCTGCAAGTCTCTCTTGGACTCCCTCGTGCTTGGGGCCACAGGCCTATTACCACATAAACCTCCCCAAACAGGTGCTCGGGCTGGTGGCAATCCCAGAGACCCTCCGGGTCCCACAGAGCACCTTCATTTCTCCTAACATCTTGTCTGCAGGGTCCATGGAATTTTTTGACCCTGGTTTTCAGGAGAATAAGACCCCAGTCATTTTCCCCTAAGAATGTGCTCAGGGCTCATGTGCACTGAGTGTGCATTTGGGTTGCGGGTAGTCTGGGGTCCCAGTCAGCCAAGTTAAGGGCAAAGTAAGAAGTGTTGTCATTGACAGCCCATCCCCCAATCAGGGGAAGGAGTTTTTCAGTCCTGTACCATAAGTCCTGACAAGCTATCCTAAAACGTGATTCCAGCAGTACTTGGGTGTTTGTGCCACAGAAGCAGGGCTGAGCACTCATCAGCCCAGGGACCACTGCCACCGTGTTGTCATCGAACAGGCAACGGACTTGCAGGCCTCCCAGCGCTGCTACCTGTCAGGGTAGTTAGTCCTCACCCTTCAAGGGAGGGCCTGTAGGAAGTGTCCAAAGTGGACTGTAAGGGAGTAGCCCAGACTCAGGCACAGAGGCACAAAACCCAGCCTTTCACTGTGTGTCATCTGAGTACTGTTTCCAAGTGGCACCAAGTAATTTCCTCTTCCAGAAAGAGAGTCCTCTGGTCCAGGCAGTGAATGCACACCAACAGGAATGTGTGCAGGCAAGCCTCCCACAGGACCTCTGCCGCCCGCATCTTAAGCCCTGGGTCCTCTCCCCTCCTCTGTATTCTTCTCAGGGCCTTTGGAATTCAGGTGGGTGGAGTGCTGGGGCAGGAGGCCGCTGGATAGTGAGCAAGTTGGGGAATTGACGACTGATAACTCATTTCAGAAGTTTGGCTAGAAAAGGAAGACGTGCGGGGCCTTCCTGTGAGCTGGGAAAGGTGTGGTCTATACGCTCTTTTGTCATCTGGAAAACTACCCCCAAATACCTGCCTTCCTCAGCTGGGGGGGGTCCCCTCAGGGCCCCCAAGACACAGCGGCTCCAGCCTGCTTCAGGGATCTGAAGTCAGTAGCACCTACCCGCTCCAGGTAGAGACCCCTGTTGGTGTGCCCTCCCAAGCTGGCAGGCGGGGCTGTTCATCTCTGCTGCCCATCTGCACAAGGGAGCCTGTGGCAGTGGAGTGCTGAGCGCCCCGGGGGAGGGAAGAGCAAGCTCAGCATCACTGCCCCCTCCCCGTTCCCCCATGTCCACTGTCAGTGAGGGAAGGGACCCTACCTGCCCCTTCCTTGGGCGGCTGCCCTCACCCCCAGAATCCCCCAGGCCCCCCCATGGCCACCTCCTCCCTCCCCCAGGCCCAGTCTGGGCCCTTCTCCCCAGAGCATTCTGGCCACCACCCCCTTGGCAGGGACTGCTCTCCAGAGCCAGGTGCGAATCAGTGTCGTGTGTATCTCCTGCTTCAGCCCTAGGCCAGCTGAGGGGCAGCCAGTGGGTGCCCATGGCTGGCCCAGGCTGGGCTCTCAAGACAGAGAAGCAGGCTGGAGTATGGAGGGTGGTGGCCCCAGCAGGCCTTGGTGTTCAGCGGCCAGGTGCAGGATGCTTGAGCAGAGGTCGTGGGCCTGCAAGAGCCAGGAGTGCCCAGAGCCCAGGCTCCGTGTTCTCGCGCTGCTCCAGGCCAGCCTCCCGGGGCCTACGGCAGCCACTGCAGAAGCTCTTGTGTCGGAGTCAGTGGTGGGGACCCGGGCTCTCCACGTCGTGCTGTGCTCTTGGGCTGAGGCGTCCGTGGGCCCCTGCAGGCCACCTGCACCATCTCCGGCCGCAGGGGCCGCCCCATGTGGTCTCAACACAGTCCCTACCTGCTCCCCACAGTTGTGGCCGCTCAGAGCAGGAGAGGCGGGGTCCTGATTCCTGGCTCCTCCTCCTTGTGCGCAGACGCCCCAGCCGGTCCCGCCGGGAGAGCTGCCCCCTCGTGGCTAGCCATGGAGCTGGCTCCCCAGACCCCTCTGCTGGCCGGGCTCTGGCCCTTTCCTGGGCTCCTTTCCCATCTCTTCTCACACCTCTGGGAATCGTCCCCTTCCCAACTCTACTTAGGCCCCCCAGCCCAAACGCAGTCTCCAGGCACTGCTTCCTAAGTCCTGGCCTCAGTGTCTCCATCTGCAAAGTGGGTCACAACAGCCCTTGCTTCAAAGGCTTCTCATGTGCTACAGTGACCAGCACTGAGCCAGGGAGGGCCAGGAAATAGAGAGAGAAATGGAGACAGAGACAAAAGGAGGGAGTGAGAGAGAGGGAGAAAGGGAGAGATGGAAACAGACAGAGAGGAGACAGAGGGGCTGGGAGCTGGCCAGCGGAGGCCCCTCCCCTTGCCTCCTGCCCCTCCGTCCCCCTGTCAGCCATTCCTGGGCCAAGCTGCTGAGCACGGCCCGAAGTCCAGGAGCGGCCCACCTGGTGGTCTGCCTCCACCCTGCTCCTGGTTCACCTGGATGGTCTTCACGAGCCCCCGGAGAGCAGAGGTAGTGGCTGCTGCCTGCTGGCTACAGGGCAGGCACGAAGCGGATCCTCTGGGAGTAGGCAAGGTCTGCCACGTAGAGGAGCAGGTTGACGTAGGTGAAGATGGCCACCACCAGCTGGCTGTCCCAGGGGCAGCTGCCCCTGGGGCAGTAGGGGGGCCGCCGGGGCTCACCATACTTGGGGTCGAAACAGAACACAGGCCAGATGACCGCAGCGCTGAGGTACAGAAGCACAGCCAGGAAGGTGTACACCACCACCAGACGGTCGAAGGGGCAGCCCAGGCCCCCCGTGTGGCCCATCACACTCAGAGCCACCACAGCCACTGTGGCCAGGAAGCAAAGGCTGTAGACAGCCACACACCACTGGGTGGCCACGTAGCGCCCATAGTGGCTGTCATGGACCAGCGCCCCAAAGATGATGCAGGCCACAAAGGCCTGGACGATCTTGAGGAGCCCCGACATTGTGGCCATGTAGCTGGCCACCTGGCCTGGCCGGGCACGGGTCAAGGCCACCTCCACAGCGTAGGCCAGGAAAAGGAGCCCAGCAAAGACGCTGGCTGCCAGGCGAAAGTCCCTGGCCAGGCAACCGGCAGGCTCGGGTGGGCACTCCAGCCGGGTGAAGTACAGTGGGTAGATGACGGCAGCCGTGGCAGACAGGAGGGTGGCCAGCATGGCAAAGGCCGCTGTGAAGTTGCCCCAGGAGAGGCGCAGGCAGCTATGGAGTTGGGTGAACTCACAGGCCACCACCACACTGGACAGGGCAAAGCAGAAGCCCCATGCAGCCATGCAGAAGGTGCCCTGGACGCCTGTGAAGCCACCCCGGTGGGCCACCAAGCTGAAGGTGGTGCATCCAAAGGCCAGCTGCAGTGCACGGGCTGTGCCCACGGGGGACACCACAGCCCCTAGGTGCAGGTACCCACCCTCAGGGGGCTCCAACGTGCTGCCCATCTGGCCGGCCACGTCCTTGTCTTCCAAGGTGCCTGGTGACCCTGGGGCCCCAGCCCGGCCACAGCCTGTGTCTCCTGCAGCAGCAGCTGTAGCAGGTGCTGGCAGCCTGCAGTGGCGGTGACGCTGGTGACACTGCAGCAAGGCAGCCTCTCTGCCGCCTGTGTGGGGAGGGCTAAGGCCCCCCCAGGACTATAAATAGGTGGCCGTGATCAGAGCCCCAGAATAGCAGCTTGCATGCCTGTCCCCATCCCAGAGGGACATCTGACCCCCATGCCCTAGCCAAGCATCTGCCAGGATCATTGACCCCTTGGCTGCAGGCACAGCCCCCACCTCCACAGCAGCTGTGTGGCAGGTCAGTGGGCTCTCCAGCCCGAGGGGGCGGAGGAGGGAGGAGCGCAGGAGGGAGGGGTCAGCGCCAGCAGCCTACAGGGCAGGCTGCAGGGGATCCCTTCCCATCAGGGAGGTGGCTTGTCATTGTCCCTGGGGCTCACACTCAGCCCTGATCTCTGGGAGATGGTGGGGCAGGGGGGTGGTACTTGGGGACTCTGCACCCCACTTGCAAAGGCACCCATCCCCGTTCTTCTGCAGGCTCTGCCTCACCCAGGAGGTGGAGAGTTAGTTCCTGTTTGGAGGGATCAGTCTGGACCTTTTTATTTGTTGCTCCTAAACATGTAAACACCTAGAAAAAAACTCCTATTTTTTGACTAAAATATTAGTAACATGTTCGGTTTTTGAAAATGAAGAAAATTTTTCTGACTGTGAAAGTAGTGCATGTTCAAAATGGAACGAAACAGCATTAGACTCAGAGACGCTGAGAAGTGAGTGGTGGTTACAAGGGGGAGGGGGAGGGGAATAAAAGGGCACAATAATTAACAATCACAATATAAGTTGATCACAGGGACTGTTGAACCACTGTGATGCACATTTGAAACCAACATGAAATTGTATATTAACGATACTTTAATAAAAAATATAATAATTTTTTTTAAAGTATTGCATGCTCAGGCCTAATCAACACTGGAAAAGATAAAGACAAATTGCCTGTAATTCTGTCACCTGGATGCAACCATTGTGAGTGTCTTGCTACACATATCCTTACACAGCTTCCTCCCAACTTTTCATTTAGAAAAATTTCAAATTTGCCGAAGAGCACAATGAACACTCATGTCCCTTTCACCCAGATTCAAGAATTGTTAGTATTTTGCCCTGTTTGTGCGCTGTCCCTCCCCTATTCCGTCAATACTTAATAGTAATATTAATGACTCTGCAGACATGACAGTGTGCCTTAGATCCTCCCACGGGCACCTCCTAAGAATGAGGCTGTTCTCCTAAGACCCTGAACAGGGTGGTAGCTTCTGGGAAGTTGAGGAAGGATCACGAATGCATAGTAGTCCTTGCTCAGATCCCCCACCGCCCCCCCAAGCACACTTCATAGCTAGTCACACGTTTGCCCCCGCATCTGATTGGGATTACAGTGCATTCAGCTGTCATGTCTCTCAGTGTCCTTTTTTTTGGAATGGGCTCTACTTTTTTCATAACACTGACTTTTTTAAAATTTTGGTATCATTAATATAAAATCACATGGGCAACATCGTAGTTACTAGATTCCCCCCATTATCAAGTCCCCACCACATACCCCATTACAGTCACTGTCCATCAGCGTGGTAAGATGCTATAGAGTCACTACTTGTCTGCTCTGTGCTGTACTGCCTTTCCCATGCCCCCCCACGATATGTGTGCTAATCATAATGACCCTTATTCCCCTTCTCCCTCCCTTCCCACCCATCCTCCCCCGTCCCTTTCCCTTTGGTAACTGTTACTCCCTTCTTGGGTTCTGTGAGTCTGCTGCTGTTTTGTTCCTTCAGTTTTTGCTTTGTTCTTATGCTCCACAGATGAGTGAAATCATTTGGTACTTGTCTTTCTCCGCCTGGCTTATTTCACTGAGCATTATATCCTCTAGCTCCATCCATGTTGTTGCAAATGGTAGGATTTGTTTTCTTCTTATGGCTGAATAATATTCCATTGTGTATATGTACCACATCTTCTTTATCCATTCATCTACTGATGGACACTTAGGTTGCTTCCATTTCTTGGCTATTGTAAATAGTGCTGCGATAAACATAGGGGTGCATGTGTCTTTTATAACACTGACTTTTTGAAGAGGCCATTTAGTGTGTGTTGTCTGACTGGTTCCTCCTGGTCAGCTTTCAGCTGGACGCTCTTGGCAGGAAAACCACGTAGGAGGTGTCCTGTCTCTGCAGAGTGTCCATCGGGAGAGTGGTGACAGGGCTGTCCTGGGCTCTCAGCTCCCATGAATGCTTCTTGTGTCAGCACGCTCCCTTTAGAATTGTACTGGTTGTCAGACTTAATATGCTTGTTCATGATTTTCCAGAGCAGTTAATATAAACATAAAATAAGGGGTCTGTGTTAGTTTTCAGGGGTTCAGTCCTCTGAGAGTGTGTGACCCTGTGGAGGGGGTGGGTGGGCCTGGTGAGGTAAGCCTCCGTGGAGCCCTGCTTCCTGCTCCCTGGGGTCACTGACCCACAGGGGAGATGGGCGCTGTCCTCGGGCAGTGCCTCCTGACCCCAGACAAGGGAGTGAGGACATGGGGCCTCAGGTCGAGGGTGCAGGGCAGCTGGTTCTGGCTCCTGCTGCCTCGTGGGCCCAGGGAGCTGGAAGGAAGTCCTCTGGCTGGAGCGGTTTGGTTTATCTCAAGCAGACATTGGCGTGCTGCAGCCCAAGTTCATAGCTCAGCAAATCATAACCACGACCCCAGCCATGCTGCTTAACCAGTCCTTGGGACACCACCCTCCACACCCCCAGCCGGAGGGGTCTGGCTCAAGGCACCTGAAGCCTTGGGCACTTTGGGGAGACTGGGCCTCAGCACTGCCAGTGCTGCGGGGGGTCCCCCAGTGCTCAGGGATGGCCAGCATACTTGAGCAGGTAGGAGGTGGACTCCCCAGCACCCTGTGGGGAAGCAGGTGCTTCAAGCAGCCTTCCTGCAAAAGCTCACTCCCTTCCTGAAGATCAGGTGCCACTCCGACCCTGGCTGGGCCTTGGCTCTGCCAGCATGGTGACCCCTGGAAATTGGATAAAAGTGGATTGATAAGTGCTGGGGAAAGATGAGACATGACAGCAAGAAGACCACACTGGCGAGTCTGGCCTGGACAGTAACCCAAGAGGGGCTGGCAGAAGATGGGTTCTGAGTGAGGGCAATGGGGCCCTGGTAGAGCAGCATCCTGGCACCAACAGCCCCCAGGGAGATGAGCAAGCCCTCTACCCAGCCCCACTTGAAGTCACTTGGCCCTGGGGAGCCTGCATCTTCAGCAGGCCTGCCGAGGAGTGCTGTGGCTGGCATGACCCGGCTGGGGCCCTGGCCAGAGCGGTGGGCACTGGTTCCAGGGCAGGGACAGCTTGTGGCGCTAAGTAGGAGACCTCAGTGAGGGAATGTCGACTTGGATGCTGGTCATGCCGGAAGTGGTGCCTGATGCTTGAGCTCTCCAGGGAAGGAGGAGCCCACCCTTCCCTAGCATCCTTCTCCACATGGGAAACTGTAGCTTAAGCTGCCTGGCTGGAGCCATCGGCTCACAGCACCTGTGTGGTCCCCCCGCTCGGCACCAGGCACCTCTGGGACTCTGCAGGGACTTGCTGGGGGGCCTGCCCAGATTTTGATCCTCAGGGCCCGCCTGTGACCAGCTTCCCTGACCCCATAAGTGGCTCCCCACAGCCTCGGGGAAAGACCCTTAGGAAAGGTCTAGAGAAAGGTTCCTCTATGTCTTCATGGCTTGATGGCCCACTTATTTTTGGTGCTGATATTACACTGGATGGACCACAGTTGGTTTAAACATTCCCCCGCCAAAGGAGGCCTTGGTTGCTTCTGTCCTGAGCATTTTTGTTTGTGCAGGAACCATGTGATGTGGAAACTAAAGCAGCAACATTTCTAGAAAAGTTGAGAAGTTGGCCCGGAGAGCCTAGTGTGCTGGTCGACAGCCTCCCCGAGCACAGCAGGTTCGGTGGCTCCCACTGTCCCTGTGCGCCCTGGGCTCGCCTGCTCACTGTCCCCCGAGGTAAAGCACAGCACGACCGGTCACTGGCTTTCCCTCTGTGTCAGGAGCATGTGGACAAAGAGCTTATTCATTTGGTGAAATCCCATCAGGCCTAACCCACAAGTATAAGGTTCAGTGGGCCTGGTGCACACAAGACACACAGGCCCCCCTCTGGTCACTTCAGCCCCTCGGCACAGCAGGCCTCAGTCCCGTGCTGTCCCCACCTGCTACCCTCCTCCGAAGAAAGACCAGGCCTCCAGCCCACACCTCCCAACGCCCCACCCAGCAGCCACCCTGAGTGCCCCTTCCTTCTTCTCCAGCCTTTGGTTACTGCATCCCAGACCTCACTGTCTTTTGTGGCCACCGGGGTTCCGTGGGTCCCCACAGGAGGCCATGCAAGAGTGATCCGGATTGGCGGCCTTCAGCTCTGCCTGGGGAAGCTGACACTGGTGCTGAGTGGGCCTGGGGCAGGTGGGTGAGACCCAGGCCTGCCCCTGCAGGGCCTGGAAGGGCTGCGCCTGCCCAGGTGACACCAGTGCCCTAGGGTTCTGCTCAGGTCCCTCCCAGGCCCGGAGCCGTCTGGTGTTGGCAGTGCCAGTCAGACCCTGGGGCACAGCCCTGGCTGGGGCTGAGGTTGTGGGGTCTCCACGATCCTCCCCACTCTGGGAGTGAGGCTGCAGACCCCTGGCAGCTGTGCTCAGGGGCCAGATGTGGAGCCCCAGGTGGCCTGGCACGGCGGGTCCTCTCCCTGCCTCGTGTGACCCGCCCCAGGGCCTGGCCTGGCCTTGGATCCTTTATACATAAGTTGGAGTTTATAATAAAACCTACTTGTAGGGGTGCTAGGGGAAGTCAGTGTGCCCAAACACACAGTGTGCTTAATGTTGGCTGCCTGCAGGGGAGCCCCACCTGGCAGGCGGAGCCTCACCGGCACTGCCAGCACTGTGGCCGGGGTCTATCCCTTGCATACACTTGCCCGTGTGCATGCTGATATCGATGTGGGCCATCCCACTGAGTCCTCAGCACCTGACGAGAGGGAAGCCCAGAGCCCATTGCTGACTGACCACATTGCCCCACCATTGCATTGCTCTCCACAGGCCCCAAGACAGTGTGCACGGGACGCGTCACGTTTGTCTCGTGCATGCAGCCATGTGTAGAGAGAAGAGCGGGTCTGTGTGTGCATGCTTGTGCTTCCAGGGCTGGGGCCTCTGGGACTGCCTGCAGATCTGTGTGTCACCTCTGCTCTCAGAGGCAGAGCGAGAGGGAGGATGTCCGCCTCCAAGCCTGCGCCTCCCAGACTCTGACCCATGTGTACGTGCAGCCTTGCAAAAATAAGTCCACTGCAGGATTTCAAGATGTTTGCTGGGCAGGGAGTGTTTTTCTGGGCCAATCAAGTTTTGAACCTGGAGATTGTGCCAGTGCCCAGGTGTGCACTTATTCATACTCTGAGCCAGTCCATGAATGTTGCATCACTAACAAAACAAAGAGAAATGGGAGCTGCTGTCCTGTGCTGGGGTCTTGCCTGTCATGGGCCCATGAGTGGTATTTGCTGATTGGATGGACAGGAGCAGGCGTCTTCAGGAAGGGTCTAGAAGAGGACACATGTGCACTGAGGTGGGGGCCGCAAGCGGGACCTGTGCATCCAGGAAGGGGTTGGAGGTCAGGGGACCCTGTGGTCCTCCCCAGCTTCCTTCTACACTGGGTTGGGGTAGAGGCCAGGATGAGCAGGGGTGTAGGGGGCACACCGCCCATTCAAATAAACACATCTGCATGGTGAGGCTCTTATTATCTTTTTTCATTATTTAAAAAAAATATGTTACAAAATAATATCATTCATCATATATTTCTCGCTTATTTTTCTTTAAAAAAAATCAAAGTAATAAAAAAGTCACTTTATAAAATAATACAAAAAGGCAGGAGAGGCTGGGAGCTGGGGAGTCCAGTGCTTCTGGCTGGAGAGGGAGGCAGGTGGGGTCTGAGGGGTCTTAGGCCCCTGTGGAGGCTGATGGCAGGTCCACCGTCTCAGCTGGGCCTCCTGCAGGCAGTGGTGAGGGCCAGAGAAGGCTGTGGGCTGGGGGTGTTCAGACTGGGTCGGGGGGCAGTTGGGCCCATCTGTTTCGGGAGGGGCAGGAGGACCTCGGGCCAGCCCCAGGGCAGGAGCCCTAGCCCCCGCTGCTCAGCATCCCCAGCAGCTTACTGGGCTCCAGGCCCTGCTGCTGTGCCACAGTCTGCACATCGAAGCCCATGTGCATTAGGAACTGGGCCACATTCATCTCCTGCCCTGTGAATTGGTCCCGGATGGTGGGGCAAGAGGGGTTGCAGTGGGGCCAGGGGCAGCTGTCCACCAGGTGGACAGGGCATCCCTTCAGGGGGGCTTTGCTGGCCTTGTGGCTATCGTGGAGACTTCTGTCCCAGCAGTGCAGTGCCCGGGGCAGTGAGGTTCCCTTCACCTGGACATCTGTCCAGTGGCTGCAGACAGAAACGCAGGTGGGGTCACTTGGTGTGTGGCCGACGCAGGTGACAGCATCGCTACCACTGGAGGCAGGGCTGCATCTGAGTTCTCACCACACAGCTGGCACTGAAAGCCTTAGAAGGAAGCCCTTTATACAGAGCCAAGGGAGGCAGGTGGCAGGCAAGGGGGTCGGGGCTGCAGATGTTCGGAGCAAAGGCACAGACACGGGCTGTCCCCAGGCTTGGAGACACTGACCTTCGGATGATGATCTCATGGGAGAGGCAGGCGGGGGCAAAGCTGGCCCTGTTGGGGAGGAGACAGCTTGTTGCAACCATGCCCCCTCCGCCCTTCGCTGCCCTGATGCCTGCGGCACAGCGGCCATGGGCTGCTCCCCCAGGACCCTGCCCTCTCGGGCTCCCGAGTCCTTCCGGCTGCTGCGCTTGCCACCTGCCTATGTGGCTCAGGCCTTGACCCCACCAGCCCGCATGCCCCTTTCCTGCCTCCAAATCCTGCTCAGGGTCCACCACCAGGGCCTGCTGGGCAGTGCTGGGAGGCTGACCAGGGATTTATTTTTTAGAGCAGTTTTAGGCTCACATCAAAGTTGAGTGGAAGACCTAGAGAGTTTCCATGTCTGCCCTGCTTCCCACCATGCACAGCCCCCCATCATCCGCACCCCACCAGCTGGTGCAGTGTTACAATCAGGGAACCTGCACAGACAGGTCACTATCCCCCAGAGTCCATTGGGGGCATCGGGGCTCAGTCTCACTGTTGGACATAGTGTGGGTTTGGACAAACGTGTAAGGCGTGTGCACCACTGCAGTATCACTAGAGTAGGTCCTCTGCCCTGAAAACCCTCTGCGCTCCGTCCCGCCCTCCCTGCCTCGCCCCTGGCGCCGCTGATGTTTTCCCGTAGCCCTGCCTCCTGCAGGCCTTGCTGGAGTTGGACGCAGTGTGTGCCCTCCCAGTGGGCTGCTCTCACCTGGCAGCGTGCAGTGAAGGCCCCGCCACGGCTGTTCGTGGTGGTTAAAGCTCACTTCTGCCCAGTGCTGGGTAATACCCCACTGTCTGGGTGGACCCCGGTTTACCAGCGGCTGAAGGACCCCCACTGCTCCCTCTGCTGTCTCTGAGGCCTCTGGTTTTAAGTCCAGGGCTCCGCTGCATATTCAGAGGGGTTTGAGTGGGGCCCCCAGCGCACTCACGGCACGTCCTTGAGTGTGTTCCTCAGCTCGCGGCCCAGGTTCTGGATGTACAGCCATTGCCCCTCCTGCACCGGCTGCCCCGTGAGGTGGACGTTGTCCACAGTCAGCTGGGCCTCGTCGAACAGCCACTGCACCACGAACACTGGGCCTGGGGGCACAGCTCAGCTGGGCCTTGCCTTGGTGCTCTGCCCCCCGCCCCAGGCTCCTTGTCCCTTGGGATTCCAACTGCCGGCCCACTGCAGCACCTTTCCTTGAACAAGCACCTTACCTCCCCCACCCCAATTTGGCCTGGCTCCCTGGGACTTCACCTGATCAAAACTTGGTGGTGATGTCCCTTTGCATATGGGACTGAGGAGGGACGGCCAAGACCCCACCCAGCCCAGCACTGGGATTCAGCTCCAGAGCACATTCCTGACAATGTGTGAGGACATGGTGACCAACTGTCCTGGTCTGCGTGGGACCAAGTGGACTTTGAGTGCTAAGACCAGGAGAGTCCCAGTCAACCCAGGGTGACTTAGTCACCCTGCTCCTGGGAGGGGCAGTGGTCTCTGGGCCTGCCTCTGGGGGCTGGACTCCAGGATGGGTGTTCAGGGGGTGGCCACTCACAGTGCAGCGTCGGGTAGACTTTGTAGCCAAAGAAGCAATTCCACTCTTCGCCCTCCTGGAACTGGCGCCGGCAGCGCTCTGGGACCACCCCCTTCCAGTACCTGGGCCACACGCTGCAGGTTAGGCCACCCCCAGGCGCCGCCCACCTCAGGCCCTCTGCGTGGGTGCCTGCACCCTGGAAGGGGTCCCAGCATGTGCACCTGATGCCACGGCGGATGGCCTCCGTGGGAGCGCACGTGATGGTGTCAATGCAGTCTGTGCCACGGTACTGCTTGTTATCCAGAAACCAGCCGGAGTCGGCCAGGCCCCGCACCTGGACGGCTGGGTAGCCCAGTTCCTGCAGTTGCTCAGCCACACGGTCCACGTTCAGCAGCACCCCCGTGCCCCCCGCACTGCAGGGAAGGCGGATGTGAGGCCAGGTGGCTGTGGAGGGGCGCTCACTCCCAGAGCCCACCCAGCCCCAGCCTGTGCTGAGGAGGGCTGGGGTCAGATGCATTCTGAATGGCCAACTATGCCTGTGTTCACGCGTAGGACCTGTGGGCCTCTCAAGGGTCCTGGCAGCAGAGGAGGGGCTGGCAGACCTGCAGGCACTGACGCAGAGCCAAGCGGCAGGTTATCCCCTCCTTTCCCTTCCTCTCTCTCACTCTGACAGTTTCCTTATCTGAAAATGAAGGTGAACTATGTGGCCCCAGGCCCCATCAACCACCCCATGGATGTCCCCTGGGTCACCTGCATGCCTGCTGGGACCCAGTGACCAAGAGGTGTGATCATGCCTACCAGGCCTTGGCCTTGGGGGAGGGGCACTGGCATGGCTTACCCAAAACCCACCCCTAGGGCACTGCAGGCTTCCTCACATCCAGCAGCCTCGGAACAGCTGTCAGCTGCAGGGTTCTGGAGCCGCCCTGCGGGCTGCCTGCCTCGGCCCCACAAGGCCAGATGCCCCTGGGTCTGCCCAGGCTCACGGTGCCCCTCCCTCACAGGCTCACTGAAGCCACACTCCCAGCAACCCTGCCCTAGGGCCTGCCCCTTGGCCCTCACGGGCCTCCCCCACCCTATCCATACCCAACCCCAGCCCTGGCTGGCCTACCTGCTCCCTGCCAGCAGCAGGACCTTGGCGCCACTCAGCCCTTTGCCCAGGAGCTCTCGTACCACCTCCTGGATGATGAGGGCGCCCATGAAGGCATACTCGTCTGCACCGAGGAGGGGGGCTTCAGGTGGGGCCTGCACAGAGGGCAAGGCCTCCCACCCCCAGCTTAGGAGGAGGGAGGGTTCTAGCTGGGGGTCCGGAGGGTCTTCCAAGAGCTGGGGTAGACTGGAGGGACATGGGTCATGTGCATGGGGCCAAGTTGGGGGGCCCTCCCCAGGGAGCACCCAGGAATGAGGACCCTCACAGGGGCCAGGCCCACCATGGGTAAGTGGGCAGAGGGCGCCGGGGGCTGGCACCCTGGAACAACCTGTCTAGGGGCTATGCTTCCCCCATTGTTCCACCCCCCTCCCTGCCCCTAGGAGCAGAGACTGGAGGCAGGCAGAGGACTCACCCTTGTCAGACTTGGATGAAGCCCCACTCCAGACGTCACTGGAACAGTAGGGGATGAAGCTGTGGCACGGGGACAAGGTGAGCCTGCCGTGCTCCTCTGCTGCCCAAGATCCCGAAGAGAGGAAGGACTACCCCCAGGACAAGACCCCCAGGAGGGACCCCCAGGAAGAACAGCCCAAGCCCCCCTTGCCAAGAGCTCCCCCCTTACACCATGTTGGCATTCCACCAGTGGGGGTTCTCCTCTGGCTGGGAGGACAGGATCCCTGTGCCTGTGGCAGGGGGACAGTGGCAGTGGGTCTTTCTGGTGGGAGAGTGTGCTCAGGGATGGGGACTACAAATAGGCATGTGTGAGATCCTACTTGGCCCTTAAAGGGGGGCCGGGCTGTGACACCTGCACTGACTCCTGACTCTCCCCCCACCCACGCCCTGCTTCTATGACTCAGGCTGCCTGTCCTAGGCACATGCGTGTCCTGGAGCCACCTTGGTGATTCCTTGGAAGTTACCAGTAGAATAAGACAAAAATGAGAGGTGAGAGTGAGTGGCCCAGTGGAGGGTGTTCAGAGCAGGAGGTGTTGGCGGGGAGGGGGACCTCTCTGGGGCTCTAGGGAGTGAAGAAGGGTTTCTTCCAGGACTTCACACTGTGAGCCCCTCACTGCCCCACCCTCTGCCAGGTGTGAGCTCTGACCGTCTGCCAGCTGCTGACCTGTGCGAGTGCCAGGCCAGCCTTTGGAGCTCATGAGGCGCCGCATGGTGTTGTAGCGGGAGTCGCAGTTCTCCCGACTGAAGCAGTACCAGCCGCCTGCAAGCACAGCCACCACTCAAGGCCGCTTCCCAGCGTCTCCGCCCACCCCGCGGCCTGGGCCCCTGGGACGCACCTTCCAGGAAGAGGAGCCACCGACGACTGCCCTTGGATTCCTTAAGGTAGTAGCTGCAGAGGAGGAAGGGCGGGGCGGGCCGTCAGCTGCGCGGCAGGGCCCAGCTTGGGGCAGGAAAGGGTCATTCCACCTGTCGCGCGGCCCGAGTCGGCCGCGCGGGGGCGCCAGCGGCCAGGCCTGGTAGAGAGCGCCCGGCCCGGCCAGAGGCATTCAGTCCCGGGAGGTGGCGCTCGCGGGGCGGGCAAGGGCCTCGAGGGGCTGTGTGGTCTGTGGAAAATCCCCACGGCCCGCCCCGCGCGGGACCCGCTGGAACTTCGGCGCCAGCGGCCGGGAGCCGGGTCCTCGCCGGGCTCAGGATCCTCCGAGGATGCGCGGTGGCGCTTGGAGATTGAAAAGTGTCCCCGCTGGAGGAGTGTGAGTGGGGCGGGGTCGCCGGGACCCGCCAGGCATGTGTGGAAGGGCGCGGGCGCCACCGAATTCCGACCTAACAGCGCGTTACTCACACTGTCGATCTGCTGAGGACCTGGATGCCCCCGACCCCTCCCCCCCCCCAGCCTCGCATCCTTCCTTTATCTACTTCTGGTCAAGAGGGGTGAATGTTACGCCCCAGGTCTTCCGTCCCACCTGCGCCCCCTCCCCGGCCTCCGCCGGCTGGGATCCCCGGCAGTCCCGGCAGCACCAGGGAGCGGACCGCCCGAGTGGAGCTGGGGTGGGGGCGGGGGTTCCGCAGAACTCTCCTCGCCCCGTGCTGCCTCCTCCTGCTGGGCCGGGGCCGCTCGTAGACTCCGTCTCCCCGCCCAGGAACCGAAGGACGCCAGCAGAGGGGTTGGGCACCTGTGTCCGAGCGGTCAGTGCCCGGGCCGGCCAGGGACCAGCTCTTCAGGCGCAACCCCACCCCCCGCGCGGCGAGTCACTGAGCTGGGCCCTCCCCGGGCCAGCACCTCCGAAAGCCCGACGGGAGCCCTCTCCCCTGGGGGCACCAGCGCAGAGACTCCCTGTTCGGGCGCAGGCGGGGAGGCGGACAGTGCCCCGCAGGGCTGCTGGCAGGGATGCGCGGGTCGGGGCGCAGGTCGGGCCTCACCCGGCCGGGCTGCCGTCGTTACAGGTCACCGACGTGTTGAGCAGAAGGTGCAGGCGCAGGTCCTCGTTGAGCTGCTGCGCCGAGCAGGGGTACAGGGACTGAGCCAGGCTCTTGACCTGCGCCATGAAGCTGTCCATGTTGCCTTCCACGGCCGTGAAGTCCAGCGGGAAGCTCTCCACAGGCTGGCCGGCCGCGGGAGCCGCCTCGGCGCGCGGCGGGGATGGCGGCGGGGGCGGCTGCTGGCCGCGGCGCCGCCAGGTCTTCCTGCCCTCGCCGCCCCCGGCCCAGTGCAGCAGGCCCAGCAGCAGCAGGGCGCGCACCCCTCGGCCCATGGCCGCGCCGCTCGGGCCCGCGGCCACCTGCGGAGAGCGGACGGCCTTGAGGCGGCGGCGGCGGCGCCGGGCCGGGGGCGCCCGGGCCGCGGGGTGCCGGCCGCGCCTGCTTGCTTGCCGGGCTCCCCGCGCTGGGCCCGGCTGTGGAGGCGCGGGCGGCTCGGCGTCGAGGCTCCTGGCCGGGCGCCGTCGGCCTGGCAGCTGGGGCTGCGCGCGCGGCCGCCGAGGGTAGCGCAGGGTCTGGGTGCGCTGGCTCCCGCCCGCGCCAATGAGCGGCGGGGGCCGAGCCTGGGCGTAGTTTGCGGGGGCCGCGGCCGCCCGGGTGCCCGCGCGTTAGATGTGCCGCCGGCGCCCGGGCTCGGCGGAGGGGGGAGGGGGCCGCGCTCGCTCTTTTCTTGGCGGAGGCATCGCCTTTTCTTCCCAAACCGCAAGCCCTACGGAGGGGCCTGGACTACCCCGACGCGGCCGCCGGAGGCGCTCCTGGCCCGGCGCCGTGGGGGGCAGCGCGGCCCGGCGGCCCCGGCGGCTCCATTCGCTGCGGCCATCCCGGCGCCGCCGCCCCCGCCCCGGGACGGCTGGAAGGGGCGGCGGGGCGCGGTGCGGAAGGACGGGGTTCCTCAGCGCCGGAGAGCTCCGCCCGCCCGGCCGCGGGCCGGCCCGACGGGCTGGGGGCGCTTTGGGCGCGCTCACCTGAGCCTCCGGGGGCCCCTAAGCCCACTGCCCAGGCCTGGAGCGGCCCGCGGGCGACCCAGATCCCGGTCCGCACCCCTCTCCCGGAACAGGCCGGAGTCCGGCTCACCGCGGCCGGCGCGCGCGGCCCGGCTGCCCCGGCTCCTCGGCGTCGTTCGCCTCGCGCCCACCCGCTGGTGCGCCCGGCTCGGCTGCGCTCCCCCTCTGGCGCTGGCGCTGAGCCGCCCAGGACTTTTATCCAGAGGGGCCCCCGGGATCAAAGCGACGGCGGACACAGGGCTTCGCGCCGAGGGGAGGCCAGCAGCGGCGCGGGGCCTCCCGGAGGGGCGGACAGGTGTGGCGCGGGGCCCCGTCGCCCTGGGCGTCCTGCAGGAGGGACCCGGCGCCCCAGCATGGCGCCACGGCGGAGTCGCCCTGCCCCGCGCCTGGATGGACAGATTCCTGGCGGCCCTGGACCGGGGGGAGCACTGCCACTTAAGGAGATCGTGGCCCTCGGGGTGGGGTCCACGATGCTCCCTGCTGGCGCCCTGGCAGTGCGCCCCATGCTGAGGACCCCTAAGAGCATCCCCTTTCCCCAGCCTCCACTGGGGCAGGTGAGGATGGGGGAGCTGCCAGCTGAGCCTCCGGGGGCCCCCAAGCCCACTGCCCAGGCCTGGAGCAGCTCTGCTCAGTGACATGCACTCCACCATGCATCTGCCCCCTCACCTCACCTTCCCGGCACACCTCACTGAGGACAGAAGGAGATTCCTTCCCAGAAAAAAAATGGGGGGGAACGCTTCCACCCGGGTGGGTGGGGAGACAAAGAAAAAAAAGGAAAACATTTATTCACCTTCCACGGGCACAAAGAACAACAGACAGCTTCGGTAGACCTTTTCTCATTTCCCTGCCCATTTGCAACTCAGCGGCTGTCGTCCGCCCCCACCCCCCCTTTTAAAGATGCAAACAGGCCTTACCGTTTGGGACACAAGTCCAGACCTGGGGCAGGGCTTCCTGAAACCCTCTTGTAATTCAGGGCCATGGGGTGGCTGTGCCCCCTGGGAGGCATCTGCAGCCCCTACCTGGGCAGGAGTTGAGAGACCGCCAGGGATTCTGGCAGCAGTCGGGACCCTGTCCCCCTCCACTGCCCACCTGGGTAGCAGGGCCCCTTTGGCCATGCGTGTCCTCACTAGTTCCTGGGCTGAATGATGAGCTGGGATTAGAAAGTTGCAACACTCATCCACTGGGCACACACACCATGGGCTGCTCTGGCTGGGCTCCTGTGGATGCAGTGGGAGAACTAACAGGGCCCTTGAGAGCTGGCATGTGGGCATTTGAGGGGTGCAATATGCTGTAGCAGAAACCTCAAAGCCTAATATGAGTCTGAGGTGCCCTGGAGGCCAGCCTAGGCTAGGGTCACTCAACCAAGGAGAGGGTCCTCCCCGCAGGCACCTGCAGGGCAGCTATATGCCCATTTTCCTGATGAGGAGAACGAGACTCAGAGAGCTAACAGAAGAGTTGAAAATGAGCTCTGTTCATTTGGAAATCCACGCTTGCCATCCCCCTGGTATTGAGTTGGTTTAAAGGCCATGCTTGGGACTGGCCAGAGGCAGTAGCTTCAAACACAGGTCCAGTCCTATCCTTAGCCACTTCTCCTTGGGCACCCACGGCAACCCAAGCATTAGGGAGAACCTGCCCCAGGAGCCCTCTACCTCTAGGAGCCTGTTACTCCAAGTCCCAAGCAGGAAGTGCTGCTTGCAGTTGTATGGCCTGACTGCATAGGACTGTGCCTCACACAGACTTGGCTCTGAGCCATTTCCCTGCAGAAAGATCCTGCATAAGGCCCGTGATTGCCTTCTGTGCCTCCATTTCCTCTGCTTTAAAGTGGGACAATGACCATACCTCCATCAGCGGGTCTGCTGTAGGATCACGGGAGCCCACGCATGAAAGTGCTGAGCATGGCAGACTGTGAGGACGGCAGGTCAGGTCTCCAGCAAGATTCCAGGACAAGGGAAGAACGTGCATATTATATTCACTGGATTTGCGGTAATGCGATTTAGCTTGCACACTGAACCCCAATGAGTTCCTGTTGGGATTCATTCAATGCTCCCGGCAGGAGTGAAGAGCCTCCCAGAACCCAGTCCTTCTCTGCCTCTGCCTTCCCCATTCCCTCTCCTCTACACACAACTGTCTTGGCTGCTCCCGCCTGGTCCCCCTCTCCACTCTTCTTCCCCATCAGTCTCCCCCACTCAGAGTTTCCAGATCCCCAAATCCGGTGGGTTCTCCCAGGCCGTTTGAGCCACCCACTGCTGGGCCTCTGCTTCCTGGTTGGCTGCACCTGGCCCAGCAGCCACTGCGGCCCTAACAAGTAGGAGGAAGGGAGACCCTGGGCTGACCAGCATGGGGTAAGACTCCCCTCCACACCCCCAGGACGGATGTGATGAAGAGTGCGGAGCTCACAGGTACTGGGAGAAACGGGACCCAGGCAGTGCTGGTGGGAACGTGAAGTGCTGCAGCCGCTGTGGACACCAGTGTGGCGGCTCCTATATTAAACATAGGATTGTCAGATGACCCAGCGATCCCACTCCTAGCTGTATCCTCAAAAGAATCAGAAACAGGTGTTCAGACTAAAGCTTATACATGACTGTTCACAGCAGCATTATTCTCAACAGCCAAGGTGGAAAAACCTGAAGGTCCATCAATGGAGGAACGAATAAACACAGTGAGGGCCCTCCGCACGACAGAATATTATTCAGCCATAAAAAGGAATGAAGTATCGACGTGCTACAACATGAATGAGTCTTAAAAACATTGAACTAAGTGAAAGAAGCCAGCCACAAGAGGTAACATATTTTATGATGCGTTTGTATGGAACGCCCAGAATAAGCAAGTCATAGAGATAGAAAGCAGATTGCTGGTCTTGCTAGAGGATGGGGGAGGAATTGGGAGTGACTGCTAATAGGTGCAGGGTTTCTTCTGGGGCATGAAATGTTCTAAAATTGATTGTAGTGGTTGCATAACCTTGTGAATGTACTAAATGCCATGGAATTGTACACTTTAAAGTGGTTAGTTTTATGACATGTGAATTCCTAAAAAAACCAAAAAACAAAATAAGGCATCAAGGGGTCTAACCAATGATGGTCAGTAGGTGGCATGGGGCACCAGTTGCCAGGGCAGGTGGGGCCAATGAATGGAGTTCCGGGCTTGGAATGGGGTGGGTTGGTGCAGTTCTGGAAATCCTCCTGGACATGTGATGTGCTGTCAGATGTCTTTGGGGATGTAGCAGTGGGCGAAGGGTCGGATTTCTGCCTGCTGGGCCCACAGCTGGGGCTCTGAGCCCCAGGCTCCTCATTTATGAAGCGGGATGTGAATAGGACCTGCCTTTCAGGGTTGTGGAAGCATGAAATGAGGCAGCACCCTAGAGGCCAGGGAGCCCGTGATACATGATAGTGATCACTCCTGAGTGGGTGCTGGCTGTCCCGCAGCGACCAAAGTAGACTGCAGTCCTGGGTGCAGGGGCTTGTGGGATGTCTGGAAAGCAGACACTCGGCTTGGGGATGAGGAGCAGGAACTACGTCCAGACCTCCTGCTGCAATGGCCCCAGGACCATGGATACCATGGATGCTGGGCAGGGGACCCATCCTTCCTCATTCCGTCCCTACTGCCACATCCAGGGTGGATTCTGTGTTGTCTCTGCCTCCTGGTTCTCATTCAGTGGAGAAAGCAGATCCCACGTGTGCCCAGGGAAGCCTGGGAAAATGGAAGCCCAGAGGGGGCTCTGCCTTATTAGGATGGGCATCCCCAGATATAGGATGGGGTACAGGGGCTCGTTCCTTGTTCTCTGGGAGGAAGTATGGGAGAGGGAGTCAAGTATCCCAGATGGGCACAGAGTTGTGGCTCACATGTGGACATATGCCCAGTTCCTGGAAAAAGGGAGGCAGAGACATAACATTTTAGGAGAAAACAGCTGGTTTGGGGCCCAGACTAGCCACAGCCACTGGGGAAGGGAAAGGGGGTGTGGCAGAGAGAAGTCAGTGGCACAGGGATCCTACCTGGGACCCTGTGTGGGGCCGGACAAACTGATAGCCTGGCCAGAGGGCTGGGTGTCCAGGGCCTCAGGCCATCCTGCCGCTCTGGACCAGTGCCATTGGCCAGACGTGGGACTGCTTCATGCTGCAAGACCACCTCCCTCTGGGGTCCCTTGACGGTGCTGAGCTGGTGGCTCCTAGCACAAGGGCGTTCTGCCCGCCTGCCAGCCTCAGCCGCCCTGCCTCCCACAGCCGCTTGGGCGGCTCCACCCCAGCTGCTGGTCTCTGAGGCCCAAGAGAGCAGCAAGATAGGCCAAGCACCTCACTGCCCCTGCAGCTTGTCCCAGGTGAAGGTCTTGCTCCCCATCCAGTCAAGAGCCCATGTCTGGCTGGCTCTGACTGGGCGAGGGGCCTCAAGGCCAGGCCATGCAATTGTTGAGTTTGAAACCCCTTTTGGCTTTTGCAGAGCCCTCCATCCACTAGATGCAGGAGCCTAGGTTTGATTCTTTAGCAGTGGGGGTGGGGGAAGGGGGATGGGGGTCAGGCCTTGGTCCTTCACGGGCAGCTCCTAGGCCTGACATGGGGATGTCCTCTCCTGGGAATCAGGTGGCTGTTGGCAGGCCTGGCCAGAGCAGCCTTGGGGTCACCTGGCAGAAAGGACCACACACACCTTCTCCCTAGGACTGACAGCACCTGGTGTCAGAGTCCCCGCACCACCCCTCCACAGGGCCAAAGAGGGCACCCAGGGCTATGGGAGGTGCTGTGACCTAGGTGCTCCTGGTCACTCTGCTGCCACCTCCCTGACAGTCCAGTGAACGGAGGACCAGGGGAGGGTTTTCTGGCCCGAGGCTCAACCACTGAGGCCTGGGAGCCCGCTGGTTATCTGGCAGGACCTGCCCCCCTCTCAAACCCATCCTCATCCTGCCCTTCCCACGAAGGCTTGCCCTTCTGGGGGACAGTCCAGGGGCAAAGGACCCTTCTGGATGCAGGCCTGCAGCTGACCTGGGCTCACCGTGGAGCTCCTCCTAGGAGTGGCCTCGTCCCAAAGCTGGGGGAGGAAGGGTGTGGGGATGGGAGGAACTTCCCACACATCTGTGATGAGCTCCTTGGCTTGTCCCAGGAGCGACCCCAATATGCTAGTGTGTTCTCTTCACTGCACAGGTGAGGCAGGGCATCAGGGAGGTGAGGCTGCCCAGAGCCCCGTGGGGAGGGCCAGAGGCGCCCCTCCTCAGTGCTTCTGTAGCTCTCCCAGCTGGCTCCACTGGGCCTGACGATCCCCAGGCCACTGGGTCCCACTGGCACAGCCCTCTGGTCCCCAGCGCCTGCTGCTATGGGACTGCAAGGAGGCCTGGCCAGCCATGTGACCTTTGCCTGCCCCCCTCCCTCCCTGTGATCTGCACGTGGCCTCTGGGGAGGCAGAACAAACCCTCAGATCTTGCCACTGGGAACCTTTCAGTGCCAGCGACATCAAAGGGGGCAGCAGGGCGCGGGGGCGGCGGATGCTTCTCTTAAAGGGCCACACACTTTTTAATTCAAAGCAGAGCTTGGGAACAGCTGTCTAGCTGCTGCCTGGGAGGGAGGACACGAGTGAGGAGGGACAGGACTGTGGCTGTCCTTGTCCTCCCCAGACTCTGCTGTGTTTGCTTCTCACAACTGGTCAGAGGGCAGGTGGGCTGTGCTGAGCGCAGAAGCACCCAGCCAGCCCCTTGGTGTCTCACCGCATTTCCCAGAGGAGGACGCCGAGGACTGAGCAAGCCTGAGTCCAGGGCATTGGCAGCTTAGAAACTCAACTCATTTCGTGAAATCAATGATGTGATCTCTCTTGCATGTGTGAGTATGACCTGAGGTTCTTACCTGCCCAGGTGTTTGTGCTGCCTGTGGTCGGCCAACCAAGCCCAGACATGGGGTGGCTCCATGCACTGGGGGAAGGGACCCTTCCTATCGAACATCCAGTCACCTGAGCTCGGTCCCAGGCATAGGGACACAGGAACGAGACAGCAGGCTTGCCTCCTGGGTTGAGGGGGGCAGGTAATGGAAAACAGCTGGCCGAGGAGCACCATGACGTGCTGTCAGGACGGGAGAGAGCGGGGCCTAGGCATAGAGCATGTGGGGGGTGGGCAGCAGGCAGCTGGCAGGAGCCTAGGTTTTATTCTTTGGCAGTGGGAAGTCACTGCCTTAATGATAGTGCATATGATTTCCAGAAGGACCTATGTTAGAAAACAGATTTGAAGCTGGCTAAATTGAAAAAGCAATCTTACCACAATTATGTATACATATATTCACTTATGTGTTTTAAATGCATTTGGCTGGATCCTAACGCATGGCATGGGGTGGGCCCGCAAAAGGCACTTCCTCTGTGAAGAAGCTGCACCTTTTCCCAAGAAGGTGAGGTGAGAGGACAGTCAGTGCCCAGGCCAGCCGGGGCTCTTTACCTGTAACACGTGACCTCGGTCCTAATAGAACCACAGTCTGGGACATGATTTCTTTAGAATATACAGTGTTGGTCCCATTAATGATGCCCAGGAAGATAACCCCTTTCCCTCCCTCCCCAACCCAGCCCCCTGACTCCCACCATTCAGGTTGGCCCGGTCTGTGGGGATTCTGTGGGACATGGACCCCAGCCTCGTCTTCCAGCTGGGCTCAGGGCTTCCCACAACCGTCTGCAGCATTGCTGCCCACCCTGTTCTTGAGGGCCCACCTACACTGGGCCTCCACCTCTCTGGGACGGGGACACAATAGATGCTCTAGCCTTTCAGATGAATGACTGAGACCCAGCAACCAAGAGGTGTCACAGCAGGTAGGGTAGCCTGGACCTCAGGCCCTAACCACTCCCTGGGCTGTCTGGATGCTATGACATCGTGTACAGTGCCCAGCTGTGGACACTCGACGCTCTGGATACAGCATACTCTCAAGGGGAACGGAGGTAGAGGTGGGCCCAGAGCGGGGTCACACGGGCTGCAGTGGACAGAACCAGAAGGGTGTGTCCTGTGCACCTGCTATATAAGACTTTTAGATTAAAATAATATAAAAATAAAAATCACCCCCGCCCCAAGAAAAGGAGCATCGGAGCCAGCTTGAAGGGAACTTGACTGGCAAATCTGGATCCGTTTGAGCACCAGAAAGAGTAATTGAATGAAAAAAGAATTTTGAATTCATATTAATATTGAAGAATTTTTTTTAAAAGGAGGGGAAGCAGGAGATATCTAAGCTGGCTGTGCACACAGTAAAACAACAAATCTGACTGGATCTATACTGTCGGAACTCAACCAAGAATTAGGAGAAGTGCAAGTTGCAGCTCCAAAATCGTGCGACTACAGACTGTCTACTGTTAACAGAACACATGGGATGTGAACAGTTCCCAGGAATGGGTTGTTTTAATTTGTCTGATTTTTCTCAAACTATTCAAATTCAGTTAGACAATATCCATCATATCATTGATAAGTTTTCACAAATGCCTAGGGTGCCTAACTGGTTTTCTTGGTTTCACTGGAGATGGCTGGTAATTGTAGGTCTGCTCTTGTTATGTAG